ATCTTCAAGAAACGACTAAAAACACATCTGTTCCACCTTTATTTGACCCTCTAACTCTAGCACTTTCTATTCTATTCTAATTCTACTTTATCTATATTTATCTTCTTTTTTATAAAAAAAACACTAGCTTTCTATTTTTTTACATTCTATATACTTGTTTTTCTTTGTGTGTGTGTGTGTGTATGTGTGTGTATAATATATATATACACCTTGCTACGTGTACTGGGTTAGGCTAACCGAGACTTGTCATTTGTATTTATATATTATTGCTCTTTTGTTAGTTTTGACTGCTTTTATTGTCCTCATTTGTAAGTCGCTTTGGATAAAAGCATCTGCTAAATGACTACATGTAAATGTAAATATCTATCTGTTCAGTAAATTGGTCTTTCTTTTTTTTATTATTATTATTTATTTATATTTAGACAACTCAGTACTTTATACAACACTGATGGTCTCATCCAGGATTTCTCAAAATGTGAATATGCTAGACGAGACAGTGGCAGCCATCCATAACAGCTCCATGGATGATGGACCTTAACATATACTGTATATACAATATAGTATTTTGTGGTGTTGTACGTTTGTTCCATTCTCTAGTTCATTTCCAAGGCAGTGTCATTCATTCAGTGTTGGGCAGTAATGCATTACTTGGTAGCGTGTTACTGTAATTTGATTACTTTTTTATTTAACACGTTATCATTTTCAAAATAATAATTATAGTTATAAAGCCGTATAGTTACAAGCCGAGGTCTCTATACGTTACTGCCGCATTACATTGATGACAGAACGCAGTGTTTTATAATCTAGAGATTGTAAAAAGGATGTAGCAAGTGCACTGTCAAATCAAGTGCCAGTGGATTAGAGACCTGCTCCCAAGAGACCCGATGCAACAGAGTGCAGCACGGGACAAGATGGGCGAGTGCTGGTGTGTGCGGGATGCCAGAGAATAAAATGATTCATGGGACTCCCGCAAAATAGAAATATTTAAACATAAAATATCTAAAACAAATAAATTGTTATTCATCTATTGCACAAAAGCAACATGAACTAATATAAAATATAAACGATTAACAAGTGCAAGCGTGTGCAAAGTTTCTATTTAGGCTATAACACGTGTTTGCAGCGTTGAGCAATGCAGTGCTGAAATTTGGGTGCTCACAAATCCTC